ATGTGGAACATTTTGTATTTGTGACTGAAGAGTTTGGTGTGGATCTCCATTGTTCCATATAACCCATTCCCACAAATGATTACAATTACCATAGCTCTTTTACCAAATAATAGCCAGTGGGTTTAACGTACCTGTTTGTTAGAGAAGAACAAGCTTGTAAAGTTTCATGGTTTCTCTTTATATATACCTTAACATGCTACTTATAGAATTTATATACAGCAGGGGTCTCCAGACTGTGGCCCGGGGCCAGATGCGGCCCTTTGCTTGCCTTTATCCGGCCCTTGAGGCACTAGTCCTCTCGCTGATACAAGACACTATTCCTGCCACATTTCACCAACAATGGGGAATAATTCCTACCACTGACACCAAAAACGGGGTACTATTCCTCCTTCTAATATCTAAGATATTGTTTACTCTTACTGACGCCAGTGCAATTTCTACTCCCCAGTCTGGCCCCCTTAATGTCTGAAGGACAGTAAACTGGCCCTTTATTTATAAAGTTTGTAGATCCCCGATAAATAGGATAAGAAAGATCACAAACATTTGAATAAATATTGAATGTGATGACTTCTACATTTTGAGAACAGACCTGGTGGTGAGAATGTGGTATGATATGAACATTTTTTACATAATTGTGCAGCAGTCTCACCATGTATGGAGTGTGTACGTAAGTATTAAAATTCATGGAATGGAATTGCAAAGAATTTTGTTGGTTAGTACGGTATGTCCAATTTTCTCTCCTTCACTGCTGATCAGCCTAAGATGAACTGGACTAACATGGATCTTCACATTACCCTATTTAACGATTTTAAAGCTGCAGTTTGGGCTCAGGTGCCTCTTGGTGTATGACTGTTAGCTTAATTTATCACTCCAATATTTTATCTTCAGGTAACGTGTAGATATCTCAGGTGCAGATAGGTTTGTGTTAATGAGAAGGCCTATTTGTTAAGTTATGGTTGGATTAGAGTTGGAGGCTTGGGGGTTAAGTTGAAAATGGAATATTCAGAAACTTTATAAGTGTTCATTAATGAATAATGGCATGTACAGCAACAACATTTATTTTCAAAAACAGGTTTTTTTTTTTTAAAGCAGTGCTTGAGCTCCAGTCAAGGGACTTTGTCTAGACTGAGACCATGTCATTAGTTTGCTGTATCAGGAGGAAGCATTTCCTCATTCTCTTCTTCCCCATTGATCAGACTGCAACATTGTCACTTTGTATCAGTTGAGAGGCTGTAGCAGCAGAATATCAGACTGACATTTGTGAACACAGCCAGGAACTGCACAGGCACCAGAATGTGTGTCATCCCAGCATCTCAGTCCAAAAAGTAAATGGTGACCCTGGATGATGCCTAAACAATGATGGCTCCATTCTTCTGGAGAGAGACAGCTGAAGCCTGCATACTTTTAGGATTAAAATATACAGTATAACTGATCGTTAAGTCCTGTTAAGAATTCATTGTCAATCTTTAACTACTTGCCAACTGCAGATAGCCGAATGACGGCTACACTGCGGCCGGCCAGTTCTGGGAGGGCGTCATATGATGTCCTCCCAGAATGCACTCTCCTGTGCGCCCCCGGCGATCTCCATGATCGCTGTGTCCTACGGACACAGCTGATCACGTGATGTGGTAAAAGGCCAATCACAGCGGCCTTTTACCACGTGATCAGCTGTGTCCAATGACACACTGATCACCAGGAAATGCAATTGCCAGTTCTCGGCTGCACTTTCCTCACGCTGTCAGAGCGCGAGGAAAGTACTGCCGAGAACCGGCAGTTGTCAGAGCAGGGATCAGCACCGATCATCAGGGCACTAATGATCAGTGCCCTGATGATTGGTACCCAGCAGTGCCACCCACCAGTTCCGCCCACCTGTGCCCAGCAGTGCCACCCAGCAGTGCCAGTTACCTGTGCCCAGAAGTGCCATCTACCTGTGCCCAGCAGTGCCACCCACCTGTGCCCACGAGTGCCACCCACCTGTGCCCACGAGTGCCACCCACCTGTGCCCACAATGCAGTGCTGCCAGTCAGTGCCCAGCGGTGGTGCCAGTCAGTGCCCGGCAGTTGCGCCAGTCAATGCCTAGCAGTGCCGCCAGTCAGTGCCCAGCAGTGATGCCAGTCAGTGCCACCTATCAGTGCTGTCTGTCAGTACCCATCATCAGTGCCACCTATCAGTGCCACCTACCAGTGCCGCCTATCCGTGACACCTCATTTGTGCTGCCTACCAGTGCTGCCTATCCGTGCCCCCTCATTAGTGCTGTCTATCAGTGCCGCCTATCAGTGCTGCCTCCAAGTGCCAATCAGTGCCACCTATCAGTGCTGCCTCATCAACGCACATCAGTGAAGCAGAAAATTTCCTGTTTGAAAAATTTTATAATAGAAACTTTTTCTATTATATTTTTAAAATATTTTTGCAATTTTTTTGTTTATAGCGCAGCGGCGATTAAATACCACCAAAAGAAAGCTCTATTTCTGAGAAAAAAAATGCTAAAAATTTCATATGGGTACAATCTTGCATAACCGCGCAATTGTCAATCAAAGTGCGACAGCTCTGAAAGCTGCAAAATGGCCTGGTAAAGAAGGGGGTATAAGTGCCCGGTAGGCAAGTGGTTAATTAAAGCTGGCCATAGACAGACAAATTTCTTTCCTGCAACCATGGGTGAAGTCCTCCCCATCCGGAGGACACAGTGATTACTGCCAGCTGCTATAACAGCCGCTAGCAATGATCAAATGTAAAATCCAGCAGCCTGGTTGTACCAATGTTGATCGATTGGTCACCTTGGGTACATTCAGCCTGCCCATACATGGTTCAAATCTAGGACGGTTCCTGTTGAACTGGCCAAGATTCGAACCATCTATGTCTGGCTTAAGAAATAGGGTGATTTATTGTATGGTTTAAGTGTAAGAGTAGATTTTGGATTCTGATTGTTGTTAGAAGTTAAAGAGAAAGTCTAGATATGGGTATTTTATACATTGTTACATTGGTCTAGTTTGGATCAATGTAACTATGTATATACCATACTTGGCCAATGCCCCTTGAAGCTGGAAATGACTAGTAGACTCCACTACTCCAGGGATCTTGCTTTTGGGTCTCATGCTGAACAGTTGGCATTTTGAACACAAGAGAATGGCTACTAAGCACAGGCGCCATTAAGAGAATGCTTTGCATTTTCTGAATGAATGCAAATTGTTCTCTGGTTGGACAAGGTGGAGAGTAGGATGTCACTGCTTCACCTCCCTACCTCATCCAATCAGAGAGCACTTTGCAATTATTGAGAAATTGCAGAACATTATTATTGGTTATGTATGTCAGGTGAAGGCAAGATTGTCTGAGGATTGTTTCCAAATGACTAAATCTCTGAGAAGAGGATTGTGCCTTCTATTAAATGTTATATTGTGTTTTCTTGCAGTGTATATGTCTTATTCTTTATCATCTTTTTCACTGTCTGGTGTGTTTCTCTAATAATTTGCATGTTACACCTTGCAGTGTGTTAATCATATTGCATGAGGCTGAGTACGTCACAGAGAATAAAAAGAATGAATTCTGCACTGCTGACCAATAACTTAACAAATCAGATAATAGTGAGTGTGGAGAGAGAGAATTTCCAGGGAAAATTAAAAATTGGCACTGTCTCTGCAAATCAGTGACAGTTGGCAATTCCTCGACACTATTCATTTGTACCACAGTGCCTAGAGAACAGAGCAAGCCTTGTTACAAGGTCTGCCTGGAGATGTGTTATTTGGTACAGTGGACCTTGCATGAACAAATTCTATTCTAACAGTATAATCTACATTACCCCACAGCTTGGTAAACTCAGTGAAATGTGTAAGATTTTGGTGTTAAAAACATGGCTCTGCTGACTTTATAGTGCTTATTAAGTCCCGCATTTGGAGAATGAAAAATGCAGCAAAAATATCATGCCATTGCTTTGAGGTTAGGTTTGAAAGAAATCATTGTGAAAGAGCCCTACACATACTACAATAATAAGAAATAATATTAGCCCTTTTAAGGGTGCGTAATAGAGGAGCTTACCATCCAATTTTTTAAACAAGTTATACAAACATACACTTTGCCTAGGGCCAGTTGACCCACCATTGTGTGTGTCGATTGTGGCAGAGGTTTGTGGGACCATAGTAATAATCACATGCAGCAGCTGCCATGCTGCTTATCTAACAGTATTTCATTAAAAAATGTATCTGCATGCTTAAAGCGACATTAAACTCAAAAAAAACCTGTATTATATTGCAGCTTACAGTTATAAGGGCTGGCTGCTGCTTTAGTTTTCTTTTTTAGCCTTTTTTCACCTGGTAATCTGACCAGTAAGTCTGTTATATTTCAACTTCCTTTACCAGACCAAGCTGCCTGCAAAAGGGTTGCTTACAATGGTCAGCTTTTATTCATTTATGTAAAACCTTTATCCCAATAGGGATAAAAACTGTTGCTGGAACTGCTTTAAAAGTGTTAACTGGAGTTCCACTTTAATTTGTTAGTCAAGTCCCTCTAAATCTGCTGTTATATCTGACACTCCAGTCTCTGCAGACTGACAATGCTGCTATCCAAAAGTGTTGCTCCTTCACAGAGTGGAGATACCCTAAGACAAGAAGTGTTTTACTGGCCAGATCACCAGGTGAAAATGAAGAGAAACAAGGCATGACAAATAAAATGAATGCAGCTACAACATCTATAAATGTGTGTTTTGGGGTTTATTACCACTTTAAGAATGCTTAGGATTCAATTGAGTTACATAGATGTATGCAGTCATATATGTGGTTATGACTGGTTATAGTTAGCCTGTTTGTCCCAGAAGCTAAGCAACAGCAACCACTCAATATGCCTTGCTGGGCAACATGCTAAATACTTCATAGACAAACACATTTATAATTCCTGGGCTTAACTATATGTAATTCTAACCTTCTTCTCCCTAATGTCTGCCTCTAACATTTTCTTTGCAATTAACATCTCCCTATTTTTGTCTTTTAACCACTATGCTGCATTCCCTCCAGAGTAACAACAATGACCATGGAGCTATGTCGGTGAGTGATTGTCAGCTAATAAACTAAGCATGTAAAGGTTATGGGTGCATTTGTTGTTGGCGGCTAGGGGTCTTATTAGTGTGAAAAAAAACCCTTTATTGTGTACATAATACTTACACTGTGATCTGTGCAGTTGACAGGAGAGACACACTGGAATGCTGGAAGTGACTTTAAAATCCCACTATGTCAATAAAGTTGTCAAAAAGATTCTAGTAATTTCTTGGAAATAATGCAGTGCCACATGTAACCATTAGATGGCAGTACAGAGTTCTTTCAGTTGGTGTAGTGTATAATGACTATATGTCTAGGCTGTAATAGGACAAGTCTTGTGTTTGTTGGTTGTTCAGAGAAGTGCTACAAAAGAAAACACAAAACACAAAATGCTATGTCTGTGTTTTGCTTTTTGGATGCATCGTTTGACAGAATAGATAATAATGCATAAATGATTTTGTCCTGCTATCATCCTAAATTCTTCTTTCAGCCAAGGGATTTGTGTTTATTCAGCTCCTTACTACAGTGGCATTAAAGGTCCTAGAAAAATCAAAGATCAATCCAACCAGACCATTTATGGTTGGATTGGGGATTCTTTGTATGTCTGTAAACTCCTCGTCACCAAGACTAGTCAAACATGACAAGTAATCAGCCAGAATAAAATTTCTTTATCATTTTCATCAAGCTAAATCATTCCTAAGCTACATATGTTGTTCTTGCACACGCACTCATTATATTGTTTGGTAGCGGATCGTACATATGCGGCAAGCCACATTTGGATATCTGCACATTGCTACATGCACAGACTGTGAGACATGGACAAAATGCAAATCCAACCAAATGCAAACCTGATATTCCTAATAGCAATTGATCTTTTAAAGGCTGAGCGTTTTAAAGTAAAACCTATTATTAGTTTAAGACGTCTAAACAGTTGCCATTAATAAAACAGAGGTTCAGACATGCATTGTCATTTACTTTGCAGAGTGCTTTGCTCCTGGATCTTTGAAACTTGAGGGATCCATTTATTTAAATACTGACTTCAGTTCCCAAGGTTGAGCTTGGGACCATACCATTGTATAACTGATCCATAACTGTGATAGGTGGTCGTGCAAGCTATTGAAGTAGATGGACCCAAGTCTAAATTCAAGAATTGGCCATTTAAGCCAGTGAGCTCTGAAAGATGCAAGCATTTTATTCATGCCAACAGGTGCAAGCTCTACACAAGTGACACAGCTTCTGAATCCATTCTTGATTGGGGTTAATTCATAACTTTATGACCAGGACAAATTTTGCCACTTTGCAGTAAGAATTCATCTTCTAATAACTGTCCTGGAGCGAGGAGAAAACACCAGTAAAGGTCTTGCAGCAATGGGCATATCCAGGAAAGTTGGATTCCTAGTCCCCCCATTAAGCTGCTTGAGTCCCCTCCACCACCCCCCTAGACACAGTAGTTGCTAAACCACTGAGCCCAGTGGAGGCCATTCATCCTACACAGGAAGCATCAGTTGTGCAACATCTTCAGCCAGTGGTTTCTGTTCTTTCCAGCAGAGATTGGTGGTGCAGGCGGCAGGAATGAAGTGAGTATTTATTGCCTTTTTTGTAGGAGGATTGTTTTACAGCAACTATCGGAGGTATAACTGCTTTGTGTAGTAACAGAAAAGTATGTTGTTTTTCTTTGGAAAGTCTAGGCTTTTTTTTTGTAGCATGCTTTTAAAATAAATAATAAATCTCATTTACACTTAGTATTCGGATACATACTGAGAAAAAGTTGAAAGATATATTTTTTTTTAGTTATTCTAAAAAAAAAAAATGGAATCAACCATTTCTTTCTGCCCAGGTACACTCTAGAGACATTTCAGAAGTTGCTGCCAAGCAGAACAAACTACTGTAATGGCATTGCTTATCTCAATACAATCAGCTGTGTGGTGGCGCCACTAACACTTGGTGCTGCTCATTATTTAAATAATAAATTATTCTCCTTGTTGCTTGCAAGAATGGGAAAACCTAACATTTGGGCAGTATGATATGTAAGAAAACTGATCAAGTACACATTTGATCAGATCTGTGATATCTAGACTTTATGCCCCAGTGCTGATCATCTGAGGAACAATAGAAATGTTTGTACAACAGCCACATAAAATGGCAAGTGTGTTCATTATGTGATCAGATATTCTGTTTTCATTTAAATAGTAAAAAGAAGGAAAGCCATTCTTTTCACACAGTCTGAATATTGGCAAATTAGATCTTTAACCACTATTCACCAAGTCTCCTGGTCCATTTATGGGCACTCAGAGGACCTGAATGACAGAGGTTGTACCCAAAACAGGTAACAAAGGACTAGTCATCGGTATTGCCAGTAAGATTCCTAGAGCTAGTAATTTCCCTATTACTGATTTATAACTGTGTCTGTGTGAAGGTGGCCATCTTGTTAGTAGGGTAAGACATTTTTTTCCTTAAGCCAAAGTTGCCCTCTAGGATAACTGGTAATCTAATTAGTGGTGGAGTAATCAAACAACAGCAGGAGAGGCACACAAACACAGAACCACAGAAGAAATGGGGCATTGGGATTCTTGCACTGCAGGTCCTCTGACACAACTTCCTCTCCAGCAAGAACAGTGAATAACACAGTAGTGACATCACCAAATCTCATGAGACTAGCAATCAATGGCAGCATTGCCTGAGGTCTCAAGCTGCACACGTAGCCCTATGAGGCTAAAAAAAAAAGCACTGATGTGTTTCCAGGAGGAATTCAAGAGAAAGGGGTCAATTTTTAGGTCACTTCCCTGCCACAATTAACATTTCTAGGTGTTTCCTAAAATGTAGCAAATTTTCACTTTTTGAGTTCATGTGCAGCTTTCACAAACCTAGTTCAGGAATAAACTGTGCTTACTTTTATTTACAACCTTGGGCCTCATATAATAAAGTATCTATGTGTAATATCAAATAAGATTCCTCCTTTTCTTTTCTGAACAGCATTGAAAAAATTACTTTTGGGTGATTAAAGCCTCCTGTTTCCTGGGATGTTGTTCTATCCCACAACAGGCAGCCCCACCTTGCTGGAAATGCATTGAAGGATAAGTTCACCTTTAGTAACATGTTTACACACATATTTAGGGTGTAACACGTTACTATTAACCACTTCAAGTCCGGAAACTTTCACCCCCTTTCTGTCCAGACCAATTTTCAGCTTTCAGCGCTATCACACTTTGAATGACAATTGCGCGGTCATGCAACACTGTACCCATATGACTTTTTTTAGCATTTTTGAGACAGAGAAAAACTTTATTTTGGTGGTATTTATTCACCACTGTGATTTTTATTTTTTTGCTATATAAATGAAAAAGTCCAAACATTTTGAAAAAAAAAGTGTTTTTGTTATAAAATTTTGCAAATAAATAATCTTTCTTCATAAATCTTGCCCAAAATGTATTAATCTATCTTTTTAGTAAAAAAAAAATAACCAAAATTAGTTTATAGCTAAAAATTATAATTTTTCAAAAATGTGTTAAAATTAAAATTCAATGACTATATCTCATGCAGATGGCATATTCAATATCTATATACTTACTTTGTGAAGATTTCCACATATTTGCTGCCCTGAATTCTGTGACGTATTCACTATGCCCTGTGAGTGGGCACTGCTGTGTCACACATTTCACAGAGCCTGCCTTCTGAACTACAGAGGAGGAGTTTTGGAGGGCAAGGTCAGTATGTGATTCACTGCTTGTAGGCTGCAAGGTACCGTGGGATATGTAGTCCTTAGAAATTGAAAGTAAACAGCAGTGGAGAAGCTGCAGAGCATGCAGGGAATCCAGGTAGATGTGGAAAGAGATGTCCAGTGGACAGGCAGCACTCACAACATGAATGGAGAACTTTCAAGTAATCTTATATTGGATTGTCAAATATAACTATTATTTGTATTGCTGTTACTGAGGATATAAAATGAAAGTGTATGCTGCAACCATAGAAGTCATTTAAGACTTATAAAATTTATATGCCAGCTAGTTACTTGTATTCATGTAGCTCTAAGTCACAACAGATTTTTATTTTTTCTCTCAAGGCCGCTCTTTTCCTCCAGACATGAATATGGAAGCTTAGCCTTTTCTCTGGGATGGGATTAATTTGCCAGGAATACAGTAAATGTCACCAGAGTCGAGAATGAATTATGTGGAATACAATGACCTTTCTCTAGCCAAGCTCAGAGTGGGGTGTTTGCTTGTGCTCCGGCTCAGGTTTAATATTATGCACTGATGAGAATGTGATAAAGCCACGCATACATATTTTAAGCATGAGCGGAATGAATTATTGGCACAAGGAATCTTGTCATTACAAATCTCCACTTGCCTCGCTGCGGTTTGTCTAATCTTTCAGAGGCTCACATAAGAACCTTTTGGATATTCCAACCAAATTAGAATCTTTTGTTTGCAGAGAACAATGTTATCCTGACATTAGGTGTAACCCCTGTACTGCCCACCAGGCCAGCTAAGATTCAAAGATGACATTTCCTTGATAGAAGGGTTAAATGTTTCTATTGCCAGTATTCCCATATTGGAAAGCATTATAGCTTTTTATCAGTGGTAATAAATATGACTTTGTATTCTGCTCCTTGCAGATTTGCCAAGAGCAACATATCCCGGGTTCATGTCGCCCCCGACCGCAAGGCTGTTTGTCAGCATGTGTCTCCAATTTGATTTATATTTGAAGCTCCTATGATTTCAGTGTAGTGTTTCTGTATTAGGTTCTGCCAGAACAGAAGATAAGGCCATGCTTGTGTATAGATGAACTGTCATCAGACCATTTACACATGCTGATTGCACATTGCTAGTGACCTCTCTTAAAAAACAGTTATATACTGTTGTTCTTTGCTGATTGCTCTTTATCTTGGTGAAACCTGTAGCATGAGACTCAACCTCTCTATTTAACAAGAATAATCTGATGGAGAATATGAATGATTTGCTACTCTTCGAAGTGATTGTACCCTCTCTCATAATAGTCATTGACATAAATAT